AGATTTGCATAACGCCGCCCAAATGTTCACGCAAAGAAAGAAGGCGTAACTTTTATTCTCGCTGTAGTGTTGTTGTTGCCGTGTGTGAAACTACTTTGTTTGGCCTTCAAAAAGAGGACAATATCTGCTTCGTCATGCCTAGAGCTGATCCGTGGATAGCTGGCCAATCAGAGCACACCTCGCTTTTCAGACCGATGAGCTTTGTAAAAATCGACATGTTTCAGAAAGGCGGGGCATAGAGGAGAAACAATAATGTACAGTATGTGGAAAATGTTTTTGGTTTTTTTCCATCTTAAACCGCATAAACACATTTCATTACACCAAATACACAAAATAATGTTCTTTTTAGCAACATCATATGACCCCTTTCAAATAATTTCCGCAAGTCAAACTGACGACATTGTCTATGTTCTTGTGTTTTATTCAGGCTGGCTGCAGCTGAGCTATTCATGCTGTGTTGACATGGAGGAAAAAAGATCCAGCTGAAGAAGGAGAAAGAAGGGAGAGGACTGCTGACTCCATGTCTTCACCTTCAAATAAAAGATCTGGCTCTGGATCACGCAAGTATGGCATCGTTTGTCTCTCTTGAAATCTTCTTTCTAACAGACATTCTTTTAAAACTTGCAGCTGTGTTGGTGCTTTGCTGTAATATCTAACCCTTCTAGCTGCTGTTTAACTCTTTTAATCACAGTAAGATCTCTGCTGCAGTTTAATGACCTTTTGAGCTTCAAGTGCTTCAATAATCCTTTCTCTCTTCCGATGCAGTCATTAATACATCAGCTGTTTAGCAATTTCAATTTCTCTCTCTGCTGTCAAGGCTTTTTCACCCTACAACTGCCAGGTTGTATAAAAACTACCTGAAGTGCCAGTTTAAATTATTTATAAGCACGTTAATATACTAGGATATTAAACACATACACACAAATGTACACTATCGTTCAAAAGTTTGGGGTTGGTACGATAAGTCTCTTATGCAAGGCTGCTTTTATTTAATTAAAATACTGTAAAACGGTAATATTGTGAAAAATATTTTTACATTTAAAAAAATAATGGTTTTAAATTTTCATGTATTTAAAAAATTTAATTCCTGAGAAGGCAAAGCTGAATTTTCAGCATCATTACTCCAGTCTTCAGTGTCACATGATCCTTCAGAAATCATTCTAATATACTGATTTGCTGCTCAAGAAACATTTCGTATTATTATCAGTGTTGAAACAGTTGTGCTGCTTAATATTTTTTGGAAACCGTGATTTGAAATACTGAAGATTTTTTTTGTAAAAATGTAAAAGTATTTAAAGATAAATTTTATGCATCCTTGTTAAATTAAAGCATTAATTTCTTTTTTTTTTTTAAAGGGCATATTATTAGGAAAGGCAGAAATGACTTCAAAACATATAGCAAGTTCCACCAGATTATAGAAGAAACATTTGTAAATCAGTGATTTAACAAGCACATGGATAAAGCAATATTTTTAATAAGCATATTATATATCTTCCACTTTTTAAAATGAAATATATAATGTTTTAAACCTGAGCGAGATTAGCATAAGCATGCTGTTGTCTCACTTACTCGCTTTTTACATATCGATTGCAGTAAAAAACATGTAATTGTATGAATCACGCTTGTATGAATTATACATTAAATTAAAAATAGTTAAATAGTAGGATAAATTTAATAGTTACGTCTAAAATTTCGTTTCCACACTTCCTGTTTAAGCCATACCCATATCCAATTCTGTCCAAATCACTGATCTATAATAGAGAACTGGATTGCTCGTGACGTCATAAAAGTGAAGTCGCCGCTTCGTGGTATTCCCCAGTATTCCCATACATTCTATTGAATTCATAGGAAATCGTAAAATTTTAATGAGAAAACATCACCTAACGAGTCAGCGTTTTTATATCGGAAGTATCCCTGTACATTCTTACAATGCAAACGTACTAAGCATGTAAATGGTTATTTGTTTAATGTCGGGAATTTCCCCTGCATATTAAAAAGTTACGTGTCCTATACATTACCATAGCGAACATTAGATGAACATGATGAACATCAGACGGACAAATCCACAACATATCCATGTCAAATGACAAAGTGATCATGAAATCTGAATAAATTTTTATGCTTTGTATTTATGAGTTAATTCACCTTGTACGTTCGTGGTTTATGTAATTGATGTTTTTTATTCGTACAGTAGGCTAACTGCAAATGTTTTTCTAACAATGATTTCGTTAACAGCATTCATTTTGAAGCAGGTAATGATGTAAACGTTGGTTAAATTAATAATTAACTAAACATACACATTATTCCTGGAAACTGTAATGCTAAAATGCCATAGAATTTGCACCATCTTGAGGAGTCTGAAAGAGATATTGCTCCCTCAGGACATAAAATAATACACACATCGTAACTTATTCAGAGAAATAACACTGACGTGCGTATGCTACGATTTAAAGACATGAAGCTTTTTTTCCAAGATGGTAAGCTTTGAATTTCAATACAATATGGAGCAATATAGTAGCAGGCTTGTATTGTAATATGTATTGTATATCCGAATCAATTCCAGATACTAAGACCAGATATTCATGTTTAATATTTCCTGCATAATTACGTACATAAAGAAATATATTTTGTGTTGGATCAGTCACCTGTGTCGGCAGTGTAAATGATTTCAATATATCGCTTGTCCTGCCCGAAAATACCATAAACATTGCAGATAACATCTGAAGTAAGAAGTTATTTACATACACATATCTTAAAAACTAATCCTGTGTTACTGATACTCTTCAAATAAGGGGTGATTTTAGGTCAGTGTTTTGGCTGACAGTCAATGGTGCTCTCTGCCGGTAGGGAATAGTAAGATGGCGGCTCGAACACTTCTGGTGGCTTCACCGCTGAATGGAAGTTTAGAGCGTGATGAGCAATCCAGTCATATATATAGATCAGAGGTCCAAATACAGATAATTATGTCATTTCAAAATATATACCAGTAGTTGCAATGAGTTTTAATGGTCATTTTGCAGTAGAGCCCAGCTCTGTGCCTCTTTCTCATCTCTGTTTCCTCAGATTCAACCTGCTGAAGGCCCTACAGCCTAAGCACCGCTTGCAACAAATGCTGTCGTCTCCCACTGCATCCCCTGTGTGAGACTCTGATTCAGTACCCTATAGTAGGGCATGACTGTAGTAGACAACACTGCTGCACTGGGCATTCACACGCTAATTTAAAACCAGCCCATTACCTGCAACCACTGATGCTGATGTTGAGGATCTGAGAGGGCAGATTACTCTAAACTCACTGGTCTTTGACAGAGGCTCAGAGAAAGTGCAAATGGATCAGTTAATGATCTGTAAATCTGTTCCATGAGAAGCCATTTTGGCTCTGATTGAATTGATTATCTGTGAGACCGACAATTATTGTGATATTTTGACAATGATTCAAATGAGTGTGTGGCAATTCAGTGCACATATTCACTACACATTACCCAACTTTCCCTCAATTAGTCCATATCACTGAAAACATAATGGACGTACCTGGTCTGTCCAACTACCCTGGCTGCTTTTCACTTTCTCCCTTCTTTTCCTTGCTATCAGTACTGATAGCAGAGTCCTCTTTTTTTCTCTCTCTCACTCCTCAAGCACGCTTTGTTTGTTTCGGCTCTTTCACTTTGCTTCTATTTTCTCTGTTTGCTCTCACCTTAACCATGACCTTGGCTTGCTTTCATGGTTAGGTAGTTCAGCAAACCTCTTATAGCCCACCAATGGTGGTCCTGGTGGACAGTAGTTATAGTGGCTTGTCATTGAAAATGTGCTGTTTTGATTGGTTTATTTTTATGTAACATGTCGAGCTGAGAATTATATTTGGACCAGTGTTATTTTAGTATTGTTTATATACTATTATAATGTTTATTAATGCTTTAGATTTTACTTTTATTTTCAGTTTTCATTTAAATTTTAAGTTTAAGTAATTTTATGTGCTTGTCATTTTTATTAGTTTTTTCTGTTTA